TCTCTGCTAAAGACTGTCGTTCAAAATAATTATGCTGCGTTCGAGACGATGTAAACTCAAAAACCTCTGAGTGGGAACATCCAAGTTCTGAAAAACATGCTTGCACATAATCATTTAGGAAACAACATGGATGCCCACAGTAACATCATTAGATCAACAGCCAATCATGTTAAAGCTCGAGTAGACTAGTGTGATAATATTAATCATTATAAATGTCTGTGCAAAAACTGTAACACTGGCAACATCACTATTTAAGATTTAAGTGGATGAAAAAACATTTTCAGCTAAAACCAAAAATAGAAATGACTCATACCAGTTCATGTTTAAATCATTGGATATTTATATAAACGTTTATGCTTACATTTAAATTCTATCGTCTTTGCATTTTTAAGAGCAGGAAATGTGCCTTACTGCACCTTTGCAACATAACCCCCATGACTCTTATTTGTGCTTCCTGTGTGTGTGTGTGTGTGTGTGTGTGTTCGCGTGCATGTGTGCGCTTGTGCATGTGTGTGCACATGCGCTGATTTACATCCAGTATCCACAGGCTATGTCATGCAGTTTGAATTGTAGTCCCTATAGGCTGGTATGCTCCATATAGAAGTCTGCAGCAGAGACAATTAGCTGCCCAAAGGCAGACCTGAAGCTATCAGTATGTCAATCAATCTGTACACTGACTGCTCTAAATACACACAAACATTCACGCACTCGCACACAGTATACCATAGGACAAGCCACTCTGTGTGTATGTGATCGTGTGTGTTTCCACTTGGGGGCAGTGTTTTCTCTGCAGACAATGACAACAAGGCTGTAGACACAAAGAGCACAGTCACTGTTAAAGAAGCAGCATCTTGCGTCTGTCTTGGCGCACAAACACACACACACACACACACACACACACACACAATCTGCTGTATAAGAATTTACCTACTTGTCTGTATGATTGTGCTTTGCTGTGACTTCTGTCTGTGGCTTCATTTGTGTGTTGAGTGCACTGTATACATACAGCAATTTTCAGTGGGACCTGTGTATGTGTGTGTGTGTGCATGTGTTTGCCTTCATAAACCCCTTCTCTCTACCCCAGCATCCACCAGCCAGTGAGGAGAAGTAGGCCGCTTAAAGATAGCTCCCGGCAGCCTCAATACTGGCTCCCAAAATATATCTGCTCATGAGAGTCATCATCTCTCTCCCTCCCCCTCTTTCTTATTCTTCTTTTGCTCCTTCTCCTTTGGAAAATAGAACAGGAATCAGCCTTTGAATTTGCAAATTGATACCCGGGGTGAAATAACCTGAGGCTTGTGTGTGTGTGTGTGTGTGTGTGTTTGTGTGTGTACCTGTACGCATGTGTGCATGTTTTGTTTCCTTCACGTGGATGAGCTTCTCCGTTTTGGGGGTCTTAAGTCTCGCTTGGTTTATCCCCATAGAAGGGTGACATCAGGATTGTACCATCGCACCCATTTAAATTGGGGGGTTCATTGAGGAGCTTTGTCACCCATGACTTCCCCTGTGCTCTGACATGCAGGATGAAATAAAAAAAATTAATTGGACTATGCAAAATAAGGGTGCACTAAATAGAATTTTTCTTTCCAAATACTGATTCTGAAGCATCAACTCTGGATATCTGCTGATACCGAGTACTGATCCGATACCAGTTCAACCTTTTCCCCAGATTTTTGTTTTGTACAATTCAAAAAATTGAAATCTGTGGATAATTTTTATGTCCAACCAAATATAAATCTTTTCTAGACATGTACAAAACGAAATTTGTCATGCAGATTTATTAGACAGGTTATTTTCCTTTTGACCCTAATTTGAGCCCATAAGATCAGTTCTCCCAGCAAGAGTCCTTGTTGCCTTATTAGTGTATGTAGATGTGTTTGTCTTACTGATAAATTAACGATTTGTCAGGGTGTTTTTTTTCCCCTGAATTTCATCCAGTTTGTTCTACAATAGGCTGCAGTCCCCCCTACACCTCCCGTGACCCTGGCAAAACTGGGTATGGAAAAATAAATGAATACGAGTCGAGTGCTTCCTCGAATATTAGCTCAATATTCCTTTTGCAGCCTGGATGTGCTGAGACCCAGTGTGTACTTTACCCCCCATTGGCCCACATTCACAGAGAATGAGGACAAATAGTTTGGCTCAGAGACATGTGTGCCTAATGTAGTCCTTTTATGTTGGAAAGTGGAACTATATGGAGATAGGAGCGAAAGAGGATCATTGTGTTTCTGTTTTCTGTCTGGCTCTGTCTCTCAGGCATGTCTCATGCCCCTGATATCTGTAAGATATGGCCAGAGTGTTCGTACTAATACCACAAATTTATTTGTCCGTGTTATTTTTTGTGGAATTGTGTTTTGATCTTATCTTATTATTAATTGTTTACAATAGTTATTGTTTTACAAAATTAATGATTTCAACTGATTTGTAATTTAGAAAAACAGAATGAGTCATTGAGTTGTTGTTGAAATGCGTAATGCATAACAATGCTACACAGTTGCATGAAACATAACGTCTGATTTTATCTGAAATCTTGTGTGATTTGGATAAACTTATGTTTTAAATTCTATGAATTGTAAAGTTGACATTGTAATCAGTTCTCTGGCTATTCAACTAAGAAACAAATTATAGATAAAATAAGACATAGACTAAGAGTCTACCGAGGTCTTGATGGGTCTACCCAAATCCTAGGACCCGGGCCCCATATGGGTTTGGATCCATTTTTCTACTGTGGGTCCTGGGTGTGTTTAGCAACATGTGTAATACTATAGTGGATCTGAGAAGACCTGGCCGTGATCAGACAGCACTGATCATTCCATGCTAGCAGCTCCATGAGGCTGCACTTATGCACAATGATGCTTTGACCTAAATTGTAGCCTCAGCAGGCTTAGCTGCTCTCAATGACAATTCTAACATGCTGATGTTAAGCAGGTACCTGAATCTAGCATGTTAGCATGCTAAGATTTGCTAATTAGCAGAAACCACAAAGTACAACTGAGGTTGATGGGAACATCATCACTTTTGAGCTGATGTGGCATTATATATGAGTTTATCCTGTGGGAAACTTTAATTTATGTACTAAGTTTCATGGCAGTCCATCCAGTAGTTTTCGAGATATTTCACTAAAAATGAAAAATGCCAACCTCAGGCACTAGAGGAAAGGTCAGGAGATCATCAAAGTTAGTAGAATTTATCATCTGGGCCCCATGATTGTCTATAGAATTTACTATGTTAACTATATGAACTATTTTCATGGCAGTCCATCCAAAAGTTGCTGAAATATGTCAGTGTGGACCAAAGTGGTGGACAAACAGAATAACTCACAAACCTGACATTTCTATCTATAGAGCCATGATAGGAGCGCCTGTTTTTGGTTTATCCAGTGAATTAAATACCTGACAAAACAGGATACTTCATCTCTCTGATGGAAAATCTAGCAAATCCAATATTGCCATAAAACAGCCATACCTATTAATTTGCAGTGACCTAAAACACACAGAGATATTAAAGGGGTAGCTGCCTCGTCATAAACCGTAAAGATTTCTTCTGGTAGACAAATCTCTATCGTCTCACAGTATATATCCCCCAGCCCTGCCTCCTTTCATTAATCCCTACCTTTCCTACTTAAATCTAACAGTATGAAACAGTCTAATTTCAGTAACTGCTGAGAGGTATCTTAGAGAAGAATCTGTACACACTATAAACGTGTTGTACTGCATGCATGTCTCCTACAACCCCTTGGATTACTAGTCAGTCACATTAACCTCAGGATGCCCCTTCAACCCCCACTGTGCATTTTCACACGTGCACTCACACACATATACATGCGCACACATACATCCGCACACCCACACGTCAATATTGAGGTCAGATTGAGAAATAGAGACAGACCCCCCATCATGGCACACCCTCTGGCTACCTCTCTGTGAGCTGTTCACTCATGTAGAAGCAGACCCATCTGCCCAGAGAGATGGCGAGAAATCTGAGCCAGACTGGGATGGAGGCAGAAAGGGATAAGACACACATACGGTGGCAATGGCATCCAAAAAAGACAGAGGTGGAAATGGGGTTTAGAGAAAAGGAGGGAGGATGCAAGAGAGAGAGGAGAAGAGAGGGGGGGGGCGTAAGGCAGATCTGTGCGGCGTTGCCCTGAGATACAGGATGTCGTAATAAGGCAATTGGGAGAGAGAGTGAGAGAGACAGAAAGAGAGAGAGAGAGAGAGAGAGAGAGAGAGAGAGGGAGGGAGGGACTAATTCATAGGGGGGGAAAAAAAGGGGGAGGAGAGTGCACCTCAAGGAGAAAAATAATTCATTTTCCTGTTGCTGTGACGAGCCGACACCCCTCTGCCTGCTCAGAAAATGGTACGCTCCAGCTTGCTCTGGGCTCTGTTGTTGTGCAGAGCTGCAGAAGGCCTGATAGAGCCAGCTAGACAGAGAGAGAAGGAAGGGAGAGATACAGAGACAGAGACACTGTGGGTCCAGAGCTTGTGTTTTCATTTCATCACCCAGTTCAACCAGCGACACCAGAGAGGAAGGGGACAAAGGGAAGAGGAGGACAAACAGGAACTTCAGTGACAGGGAAAGTGAAAGACAGGCAAGGTGAAGGAGGAGAAGGAAGGAAGGAAAGGGAGGGAGGAAGGAAGGAGGCTGGGGCATGAGGAGGGGCGCCTGACTGACATTGCTGCTCTTGCTATCAGCTCACACACACACACACACATACACACACACACACACACACACACACACACACACACACACACAAACCAACATAGGCAGACACACGCACACACACACTCTGCCGGATTGTGCACTGCACAGTTGCTGCTCTTTTTTTAATTCCTTTGCGGAGACTTGTCCTCCATCCTTTCTTCTCCTCTGAGCGAGAGGACAAGAGAGACACAGAGAGAGGAGGAGGAGGGAAAAGGACGAGGAGGAGGAGAAGGAGGAGGAGGGGAGGCAGTAACCCTCTCCTCTCCTTTACTCAGACACAGCAGAGAGAGATAGGGAGAGAAGAGTAAAAAAGAAAAGAGAGAAGGAAGCTTTCTGTTCTATTTCGCCGTCTCCTGTGGTCCCTTGGCCAGCGAGCGGCTAACAGGCACCGCTCATGTCCGTGAACTCGGAGAAATCCTCGTCCCCCGAAAGGTAACACCTCCTCCTCCTCCTTCCCTTGCTCCTTATCATTTCATCCCCATATGTCTGTGTACATGTCCATCTGTCTGTCTGTTATTTTGCCCTCTCCCACCCCAACCCTCTCCGACCACCAGCCCCCGTCAGCACCTCCATGTTTTGTGTCTCTTTCTGTTTCTGTTTCTGTCTGTGTGTCATGAGCTGGTTTCTTCTATTGTCTGGGTCACAGCAGTCTGACTGTAGTGAGGAAAGAAAACGCAGTGGTTCATTGTTGCATGGTGCTGTAATGTTTCAGTTGGCAGCTGAAACAGGACGTTAGACATACCAGCATATACAGTACAGCACACTTAAACATCATCTTTAAAGCGTTATCTCATTCACACACGTCTACGCAGACACACACTTAAGCTGCTGCTGCCTTCTGAGGCTGCAACATCTCCTATGACAACAATAACAAGCACACACACACACACACACACACACACACACATAGAGAAAAACACACACCAAACACACACCATCTCTTTATGGCAGTGATGCACAGAGCTTACACAGCAAGAGTGTCAACACACGTCAACATGCACAGCCAGCAGCAGCAGCAGCAGCAGCAGCAGCAGCAGCAGCAGTGCATCTCAGCAGCGATGCAAGACAACAGCTCACCACATGACGCACCTCAGTCAGTGCATAGCATTACTGAACAATGGCACCTCCGAAGGCCACGCAACTTCTACACAACACACAGACGCACATTTTGACCACGTTCATCACATCATAGATTTACATATCGGGAAACATCCACTTTACAGCGTGAATAGCAACGTCACAAGGCATTACCAGTCACGTGGCGCACTGTGGCTAATGGAAAATACATACAGACAAAGACACATGCACACACCACGTCACAGTAGAATATCTCACAATACATGACGAACACATGCATCAAGGCTAACCATGCTTCAGAAGCTATTTCAGACTGATTCCACCTTTGTTGCTCAGTAGAGATAATGACCTCTTTAATAATTTGTACCTGAAAATGCCTAATTAGACCCATATAGATTTACAGGATCAAAGTGAACACAGTATTTCATGTCGTACAGGGTTGCTTAGTTGGTCCTGATTCAAAAAAAGATATCTGTTGTTTTAAGGTTGCATAGTTCTGAGAGTCATTTCAGCTGTAACTTAGGCAATTAAGGAGGGAAAGTTTGTTTTTGAGGTTGAAAAACAGAAAAAGAGTGGAGTGGAGAAATGTTTGAGAACAAAGGCTCCGTTGTTGGTAGTTTCCATCTCTGCTACAAGCAGCGAATCTAAAAGCGAATCAGTCAGAGTCGTGACGTGTGTCCAAACCTTTTTACTGCATGTATAAGATCCCATATCCATTCACATCTATTCAGGCCAAGCCCACATTCCTGTTTCGGTTTGCAAATGCGGAAAGAGCTCGATTTGACGGGTGCTGGAGGGTGAGGAGCAGGCAGACTGGATGACTCAGGTAGCCACTGATGCTGTGCCAAGTACGATCAGGCAGAGCCGCTGCCATCCACACAACCTAGCGCCAGGCCCCAGACTGGCACACTCAAACACACAGCGCAGTGGGCACACAAATAGGCAGAAGTAAATGGGCACTAACAATATCAGGCGTTATTACATGGGCAGTTGGGCACAGAGGAGAGCGGCGTCACAGTGGCAGTTTTGGATGAACATGAAGTGAAGTTTAATTTGGAGTAAGAGGCAGTGGCACAAGTACACACACAGACTGTCATGCTTATATTTTTAGCATCTAGACAAAGAAAACAGCTTTCTCAATCTCAGAGACGCATAAATACAGAGTATCGCCTTGCATCTCTGGTGTGGTGAGGTTTGTGGATTTCATCACTCGGCAAGTTTTCCCCTTTCCCTCTGTTGTTTGGGTCACAGCCGTCTGACTGTAATTAAGAATAATGCAGCAGTCCCTTGTTGCATGGCAGGTAACAACAAAGAGCTACACTCGTGCACACACTGCTGCCCTCTTTAACGGCTGCAGCATCTCATATGACAACAGAAACAATGCATGTGACTACACGCTTTCTCCATTTACAGTCGACCGGTCTGGGAGAAGCTTGACAGATAGTGTCAGCATAACTAGTCATGAAGTTTAATCTTCTTATCTCTCTGAATTAATTCATATACTGTATACCTAACTAACGCTATCAGTTATGAACCTCACGAGTAGACTAGCTGCTAATTCCCATGTGCTCAAAGCTGCGTTTGAAAGCCACAAGCTGCACCAAAGATCAGAGAGGATTCGGGAGCTTTGTGAGTGTGACATAGACAGCTGGGATGCCTTTTGGACTGGGTGCATGCAGATACAAAAATAAATAAATAAATAAATAAAGAAAGATAGCGACTTAATTATACTAATTCATCTGCATAAGTGGGCAGCTCAAGAAAGAGCTTGATATGGCAAGAAATATGTCAGAAAGATCAGTATTATTCAGATGCAAGGACAGTGTTGTGTTGATCAGTGAGTCATCGGGTATTTTGATATTTGGTGCTTCCAGCTTCTCAAATGTGACGATTTGTTGCTTTTCTCTGTTTGATATTGTAATTTAAACATTGGCTTTTGGTTTTTGTGCTGTTGATCGCACAAAAAACAAGCAGCTTGGAGATGTCACCTCAGGCTGTTTCGATGGGCTTTTTTTTTGACATTTTATAATTATTTAGTCCAAAAACAATTGATAGATTTATTGATAATGTAAATAATTAGTTGCATCCCTAATACAAATAATGGTTATTATATTATCTAACCTAGACATTATTTGTATGTTTCACATAAAGTAGCGTGAACTGATTTGGAAGTTGGGCCTAATTTTTAGTTTTATCAGCAGTTTATATTTGAGTGTGGATTGGACGTCAGCATCTATATCGGGCCTGCCTTTTTTGGGACAGATCAGCACAATATCTCTGTCTGCAACACCATCTGGGCCCCAGGTGCCATGCACACACACACACACACACACACACACACACACACACACACACACACACACACAGCTCTGGAGTTTATCCTTTGGGATGTGCAGTAACATGTTTGTGAACAATAAGGCAGAATGGATTAGATAGGTGATGAGCGTTAAACCAAATGGATGGACAAGTTGGACCTGAAAAGAGCAAGAGGCGGCACTGTGACAAATTTCTCTTGGGAAGACGATCCCTGTTGTGTAACTTGGCACTTGAGGCATGGTGGAGATGGAGATGGATGGAGGACAAGGAGTGTTTGTGTGTGTGTGTGTGTGTGCTTGTGTGTGTGTGTGTGTGTGTGTGTGTGTGTGTGTGTGTGTGTGTGTGTGTGTGTGTGTGTGTTTATATGTGCATAAAGGATATGCAAGTGTTTTGACATCCTTGTTGCGTGTGAGCAGCTTACAGCTTCTTTCTGCAGGGTGACAGCACGTCGGTTTAGGTCATAAGTGACGCTGTTGGGTGGAGGGCTTATGCCCTTTGAGGATACTTTCTTTAAGGATTAAACAAAAGTTGAATAAATGAACATCCAGAGGTCAAGGGTTTTACTGGCTTTTTTGCAAAGCTGACTTGGAGCTGTTGAGAGGCAGGAGCACTGAGAGGTGTTGGGTAAACCTCTCTTTGATGCTGATTACCTAACCTTCAGTCAGTGTGTGTTCTGTCAAGCGATGCCTGTGTATGTCTGTGTGTGTGTGTGTGTGTGTGTGTGTGTGTGTGTGTGTGTGTGTGTGTGTGGCTGTGTGTGTGTGTGTGTGTGTGTGTGTGTGTGTGTGCGTGTGTGTGTTTAAATGAATACAGTACTCAGGTGAGCTGTTGAAAATGCCACATCCACTTCAAACTTTGTAGATACCAAGGATAACTTAAAAGATACGGTTATCTTAAGCAAAAGATGACACGTGGCTTTAATGTCTTAAATTAGCATGTAATCCGTGTACAGGGTTCCAGCGTTCTCGTATGTGTGTGCTTGCGGTTCTGCAGGTGTGAGCGTGCACCTGTACCACGTAGGTGTGACTCGTTGATGGATGATTTTTATTGTGATTACTGGAGCTGCCACTCTTTCACGGACAGAGAAAAGGAAGAAAAGAGGAAGGGGGAGCAAAGAGGAAGAGAAGGAGAGAGAAAGGGCACAAGTGAGAGGGAAGGTGGGAGGTAAAAAAAAGAGAAAAAAGAAATAGAGAGATAGATAGAAGAGCAACATAGACACCACACACACACACACATACACACACACACACACACACACACACACACACACACATACACGTACACATACACAGCTGTTACCAACAGGACCTAAAATTTCCAGGTCATCTCCTCTTTCATCAATTTGACACCAGTTGAAACACAGGTTACTGGACACATCCAAATACTCTGATGAAGCCTCCTTCTGTCCGCCTCCTTGAGCATCACTAACTGCTCTATTAATTAATCTGATGATATTTTTCTTGATTGTTTGGTCTATAAATAATGTCCATTACAGTTCTCAAGAGTTCAAGGTTTCTTCTATCAGACCAACCATCAAAAACCCAAAGATGTGACAATGAGATTAGACAGAGCAAAGTCAAATCCCTCACATTGGACCAGCTGGAATCACAGAATGTGTTTTGCTAAATAAATGACTAAAACATAATGAAAATCATTTCAGATTAGTTTTCTGTCAGTCAATGACGGAGCAGCAAGAAGCCATGGAGGAAATTATTTTTGAACTGCATGAGGTTTCCTAGTGGTGGGCATGGTATACCAAATACAACATAAAGAGCTGTAGAGATTAGCTGGTTCACTATAAGCTGATCAACAAAAAACTAATCAGCAACTATCTTTTGGTGATCGATTAATACTTAAAGCCTAATATGAAAAAATATGATCTTATAATAATCTAATTTATTTCAATAATCACAAAGCCACAACAAAACAGAGGGAGATTTAACAAAAGGAGAAGATAAAAGGGGAACATATAGGACAGAGAGCAGGAGAGGATGCAGCATGAAGTGTTGGAATGTGTCCAGTCAGTCAGTAAGCCAGGC